GGCCTCACGGCACCATCCTGTCCCAAACAAACCCCCAGCCCCACGCCTCCTTCCCCAGGTGGCACCTCCGTCTCCTTGCCGCCCGGCGCCCGCCCTGGCCCCCGCTTACCTGACACCCGCGGCAGCACAGCCCCCCGGCACAGGCTGCCCCGGGCTTCAGCTTGCAGCCGGCCTTGCAGCACGGGTCCCCGCGGCACTCCTCCGGGGACCCACAGTCGCATGGCTCGCCCTTGTCCACCACCTTGTTGCCACAGGCCTTGCCCTTGAAGAGCAGGTCCTCTGCAGGCAGGTTCAGCAGGCAGGCCCCCTTGCGATCCAGCAGCAGCTGCGCGTACTGCCTCCGGCTGCAGTTGCTGAACAGTGGCGTCTCCCTGTGTGGAGCCGCGCGGGGCCGTGACCGCCACAGCTTCCCACCCTGCCCCGGCCTCCCGCCCCGGGCACTCACTGGATGGCAGTGTTCATGATGCAGTATGTGTGGTTGCAGACGCAGCCCGCCGTGTCGTGCTGCATGCCCAAGTTGTGGCCCATCTCGTGTGCCACCAGAGGCGCAAAGTAGGAGGCCGGCAGGTTCGCCATCTGTCGCAAGGACGAGACGTGCCTGTGGCACCTTTGTGTGCAGCATACCCTGGCAAGACCCCCCCCCCGCTAGGCACCCACCGCCCTCTCCCTCCTGCTGAGCCTCGCCTCCGCACAGCCACAACCCACCCCCCCCCGCACTGCCCGAGCAACGGAGTGCTCGAGGCCCGGGGACCCCTCCCGGAGCTCCTCCGAAAGAGACCCCCCTGGCCACCCACCCCGGGGCACGGGCTCACCGTCTCGACCCCGGTGGGCCTGCCCGTGCACACCGAGCCCACGTAGGCCAGCCCCAGCACCTCCCCATAGCTCTGGTACCTGTTGGGAGGAGAGGCGGTTGCAGGGATTTCCTCGGGGCGCTCGCGTGGCCCTTCCCCTTCCCCTTCCCCAGCCGGCCTGGGCAACCGTCTCCCTCTGGCCGCAACGCCGCCGGCTCCCCGCTCACACGAAGAGATGCGCCATGTCATGCGCCACCCGCGGCCGCAGGTGCACCTGCCACCACATGCTGAAGTCCGCCAGCACCTCGGACATGTCGCCCACCACCTGCACCCGGTTGTTGTCCGTCCAGATCTCCACGCCCATCAGCACCACGCGCAAGTTGAGGGCCCGGTACACCTAGGGGCAGCCCGGCACGTTGCTGCTAGGCTTCCCGCTCCCGGCCTTCCCCGCCGGCTCGCACGGCCTCCCGGGCCCGAGCAGCTCGAAGCGGCGGGATGAGCGTGGGACCCGCGCGCTCAGGCCTCTCTCGTGGTGGGGAGCGCCCCGCTGGTCTGCCGACTCACGCCCTCCAGGGCTTCCTCGGGGCCTCCTACAGTCGGCTTGTGCCGTCCCAGGCCACTCCCTGGTCTGCCCCAGGACCAAGCCCAACGCCCCCCCGAAAGGGACAGGCGAGTGCGCGCCCCCCGCGACCATCCGGCAGCTCCCACACCCGGCCCTCCACTGACCGTGTCCACCGTGTTGAGAGTGTCAAACACCTTCCTCTTCACGGCGGTTTCGTTCCTGCCCAGGAACACGTACTGGCACGAGACAAGCACGGGCCCTGGCTGCTGGCCCCGCCGAGCTGCGCCCCACAATGCCCCGCACCCTGCCGGGGCCCTGCCGACCGACCTGCTCGCGGTCCACCACGACGAACACCTCGATGTAGCGCGCGTGCAGCCAGATGGGTGACAGCATCCTCTGCTGCGCACACACCGTGCAGCTGATGGACCTTGGCCCCGACCCGCAGCCCCCGCCCCC